ACATTCATTCTTTTAGGTATTGTTTCAGAAGAATGGAGATAAAGAAGAATAAATGTGTAGAGAGAGGCTAAGAGAACAAAAACATCCATTGGTCGCTTATACTCAGAATTTTAGTAGACTACGAAAAAGGAACACAAACAGATGAGCTGTCGTGCCTGACGCCATCCGCCAAAGGTAACGACAAAACCAGTTCATTTTCAAGCGTTTTCTCATGGTTTACCATCCACACGGATTTTGTAAGATTTTGTAATGACAAGTATTAGTGGTAATCAGTAGTCCTAGTAACTGAGCATGACCGGTCATTATGCCACAACAGTACGAATGTAGGACAAAAGTCCCCTGGGACAAATAATAAGAATTTTTAAATCAGTCATCTTATTCTTTATTATTTACGGTTTATGAACACTTCTCTGACATGTAAAATATTACATTTATACATTTATTATAAGATTGCAATACCTATCGTAACCTAACCTAACCCAACCCATTTTGCACTTTAACCAAGGGGGTTTTGTCCAGGGGGCTTTTGTCCGAACCCCCAACAATACACCTTTTGTTAGCGAGCTGTGTCATTCTGAGTCAAGATGTGTCATTAAAGCCCTGGGTAACCAGACAACTCGCTAATCGCACAAGCTGATCATTACCCTGGAACACAATTTATCTTTATCGGATCACAGTCACCGTATATATATATATATATATATATATATATATATATATATATATATATATATATATATATATATATATATATATATATATATATATATATATATATATATATATATATATATATATATATACGCGAATCTAGGTATCTGATAACCACGGAAAGAAGAAAACACGAAGTTCCCAAGCGCTTTCGTGTAATTCACATCTTCAGGGGTGAGTACAGACTAGAGAGAGTAATACAAATCAAGGTGTATATATACAGAGGAGGGTGAGACCAGGTCCACAATGGTCAGGTATTAGGTAATGACCCTACTAATCTTTAAATAGCACACAACGGTTGGTGGTCAGGTCAGATGGTCAAGTGACCCGGCCTTCTCACCTGATCACAAATCTTCTTAATTACAAAATTGTCCAGCTTGTACATGCCGTTACTCAAATTCATGTTGAATGCTTCGGTATGTTTAATAAGACTAGATTCTATGATGTTCCTACTATCAATTGAATTACATGGTAATATTGAGGAGGCATTATCCCAGTCAATGCAATGCTTGTTATCCCTCAAATGAACAAACAGAGCATTGGATTCCTGGCCTGTCCTAACACTGTATTTGTGTTGTTTAATTCTAGTTGCAAGATCTTTACCTGTCTGGCCTAAGTAAAACATATTACATTCCTTGCAAGGAACTTTATAAATGCAACCAATTGTGTTGTTGGGGGAGTTCTTGATTAACATTTGTTTAACAGTGCATGAGTTTTTAAATGCCACATTGACGTTCCAGGTTTTTAGCTGTGCAGGAATGTGTGAGAAATTTTTGTGAAATGGTAATATTAAGATATTCTTATGGTCATGGGTGGGCTTGGGGTCAGTTCTATAAAAAGTTTTCTTAGTAATGTTTAAGCATTTGTCTATGAAAGATCTAGGGTATTTAAGGTTTGAGCCAATATTATATATATATTTGTATTCCTCATCGATGAATTCCGGACTGCAAATTCTCAAGGCACGTAAAAACATTGTTGAAAATACTGACTGTTTGACTTTATTATGGTGGGCAGAATAATAATGAATGTATGAACACACATTAGTTGGTTTTCTATAAATACTGAACTTAAAAGTGTTACCTATTCTGTGTATCAGACAGTCTAGGAATGGCAATTTACAGTCTTGCTCTAATTCCACAGTGAATTTGATCGAGGGGGCTAAGTTGTTAAGTTGTGGCAGGAAAGCTTTTAGGTCCTCATTACATGGCCAGAGACATAATACATCATCAACATATCTAAACCAGACTGCTGAGGGTGGTAAAATATTACTTAATAGTTTCTTTTCAAAGAATTCCATATATAGGTTGCTTAATACAGGTGAGAGTGGATTACCCATTGCCATACCAAATTTTTGAGCATAATATTCCCCATTGAATTCGAATTTGCAATCCTTAATACATAGTTTGATGAGTTCGATGAAGTCGTCTTTCGAGACGGGCAGTGAAATGTTATCCAGGGAATCTATGAGGAACTCTAGTAAATCATCAACTGGGACCTTTGTAAAGAGTGACGTTACATCAAAGCTGACCAGTTTAAAATCATGATTAATGTGTAAGTTATTGAGTTTATCAACCAGATCCATATTATTCTTGATATTGGAGTTAGAAATGTTGCCAACTAGGGGATTTAGTAAGGAAACTAACCATTTAGATAGTTTATAAGAGATTGACCCAACTGAGCTAATGATGGGTCTTGCTGGGTTATTGGGCTTGTGGGTCTTGATTACACCGTACATGTATGGCAGTGGAGGGGACGTTGAAGTAAGATGTTTAATGAGCGTAGCTTTGCCTCTCAATAGGGACTTCAGTTTTTTGTTGAACTGGGTGTTGACAGTGTTGAGAGGATTATTTATATATGGAATTCTTTGAAAAGAAACTATTAAGTAATATTTTACCACCCTCAGCAGTCTGGTTTAGATATGTTGATGATGTATTATGTCTCTGGCCATGTAATGAGGACCTAAAAGCTTTCCTACCACAACTTAACAACTTAGCCCCCTCGATCAAATTCACTGTGGAATTAGAGCAAGACTGCAAATTGCCATTCCTAGACTGTCTGATACACAGAATAGGTAACACTTTTAAGTTCAGTATTTATAGAAAACCAACTAATGTGTGTTCATACATTCATTATTATTCTGCCCACCATAATAAAGTCAAACAGTCAGTATTTTCAACAATGTTTTTACGTGCCTTGAGAATTTGCAGTCCGGAATTCATCGATGAGGAATACAAATATATATATAATATTGGCTCAAACCTTAAATACCCTAGATCTTTCATAGACAAATGCTTAAACATTACTAAGAAAACTTTTTATAGAACTGATCCCAAGCCCACCCATGACCATAAGAATATCTTAATATTACCATTTCACAAAAATTTCTCACACATTCCTGCACAGCTAAAAACCTGGAACGTCAATGTGGCATTTAAAAAACTCATGCACTGTTAAACAAATGTTAATCAAGAACTCCCCCAACAACACAATTGGTTGCATTTATAAAGTTCCTTGCAAGGAATGTAATATGTTTTACTTAGGCCAGACAGGTAAAGATCTTGCAACTAGAATTAAACAACACAAATACAGTGTTAGGACAGGCCAGGAATCCAATGCTCTGTTTGTTCATTTGAGGGATAACAAGCATTGCATTGACTGGGATAATGCCTCCTCAATATTACCATGTAAGTCAATTGACAGTAGGAACATCATAGAATCTAGCCTTATTAAACATACCGAAGCATTCAACATGAATTTGAGTAACGGCATGTACAAGCTGGACAATTTTGTAATTAAGAAGATTTGTGATCAGGTGAGAAGGCCGGGTCACTTGACCATCTGACCTGACCACCAACCGTTGTGTGCTATTTAAAGATTAGTAGGGTCATTACCTAATACCTGACCATTGTGGACCTGGTCTCACCCTCCTCTGTATATATACACCTTGATTTGTATTACTCTCTCTAGTCTGTACTCACCCCTGAAGATGTGAATTACACGAAAGCGCTTGGGAACTTCGTGTTTTCTTCTTTCCTTGTGGTTATCAGCATATATATATATATATATATATATATATATATATATATATATATATATATATATATATATATATATATATATATATATATATATATATATATATATATATATATATATATATATATATATACACATATATATATAAAACCTACCCTCACATAATTTAGGGTATAGTTTGGTTATATTATAATAAATATTTTTTTTACCATATTAGAACTAATTTCCATTAAGTTGTAACAATAAAAACAAAAAGTAACAAACAATATAAAACTTGAAACTTTACATGTAAGTTTAAATGTCCGAAACTTGGGTAAAGACACGAGTAAAACTTTTAACAACATGTATTCGCACTCACACCTTGATCACGTACACAGTGACCTTGACACTGCCAAGGTTGACGAGTTGATCTTGAGACGTGCTGTGGAATCCCCGCTCCCCTCCCTGCCACACCCTTGTGTACACACAGCATGTATGTGAGTATCGAGAGATGAGTTGTATGTGTGTGTGTGTGTACTTGTGGGAGAGTGAATCTGCAAAGATACGTGTTAGTGTATGCGTGTGAGGGTGTGCCTGTGCGTTTAGAATAAAATCAAGTCGGTCATTCTTAACAGGAATTTGTGAGTCATCAGGATGCCGTGCCCTTTACAGGTAAAGTAATTATCTGATGAAACATTAAAACAAATGACTCTTGCCTAACAGGGAAAACCTTTTTTGTATATGTTTTGCTATAATTCTCTGGTTATTAGTACATATATGGTATAATTCACTCTTTCATATAAGGTGTCGTTTCCCATCTCAATATAGCCAAATAATATCTAAATTTGGTTAGATAAGGTTTTGGTAGGTTGGATAAGCTTAGGTTAGGTTAAGTTAGGTTAGTTGGATTAGTACTGGTGCTATTCATTTGTTGTTCGTGTTATGTGTCTACGCAGAATTGTACACACACACACACACACACACACACACACACACACACACACACACACACACCAATGCTCCAGCTAAAGTGAGTCTCTGTTGTGCTAGGAGGAAGCCATGGTGGTGAAGGTGTTGTGTTTATGTCTTGAGTTACGTAGAAGATTCCCAGACATTGAGAGCGACCGTTAAACTCTTCTTAATTAAGAACGGCGTAAAAAGAAATAAACTTATTATCTTTTTTTCAGTTTCTGTCTTTAATATTTATCTCTTTATCTCAGTATTTGTCCTGTGTTTGCCATTCATTTTTTCTGTTCTTGTGTATATTAATCTGCCCATTTTCCTCTCTCTCTCTCTCTCTCTCTCAGCCTCCGTCTATTACATAGTGAAATTTCACCTTCGCTGTCCACCTTTAGAACCCTGAAGCCTAAAGGGGTGAGGTCAGACCTGCCGCGGTAACAGTTAACAACGAGTGGATCATTACGAATGTACAGTATATACCTAAAGCGGCGGGGGATCCAGCGCAACACTCTAAGGAGAAGGGGGGACCCTGTAATGGCAAGATTTTAATAATATTCTAATCACCCATAAGCAAACGCGTTTAATTTGAACGAAGAGTTAATTCTAAGATGTGAAGTTCTCCCTTAGATATTCTTTTTTATTCAGTATTTGGAGTTTGTATTTTCTTGCAAAAATCATCATTAAAACCAACCTGTAGTATCGTAAAATATTCACCTTCACCAAAAATATTGTTTCCAGAATGATCGCTTGTGTTACATCATAAACTATACGTATTATTTGCTTTCGTGTAATATGATGTCAGCTGTAGTGTCCGTGGGATTATCCTATATACTTTTCAGAACTCATAATTTTCCTTCATTTTGTAATCGCTTGCTCTAGCTTGCAGTGTTTTTCCGGTATCATCCAACTGAAAATTTGATACAAAATTCCCGGTAGGCATCTCACACTTAAACTTCCCTGCCAATATAAGTAAGGCCACGCGACGCTTGCTTGAGTTAGTTGAATGCCTTCAGTAACGACGGTCAGCATTCCCTCACTTCTCCAATACTACAATCACGTATGTATCTGCCTGCCTTAGATATATATTTTGAAGTGATTTAGAAAGATATTGAATAATTATGGAGCAAAATCGCCCAACGTGGATTTTTTATATCAGGTTCATATTTTGTTCTCGAAAATAATTGTTTAGAAGTGAACGATAGTCATCGTCGAAGGCAATTCAGTTCATTGCCAATATATTATTGGATACTTTTATCCTCTTCGCCACTGATCGGCTCGTTAGCCGGTTGGGCTATCTGTCACGTCTCTGATTACTTTTCCTTTTCATTTATCTTCTTCACCAAAACATCGGCTCGCTAGCCGCCCGGGCGATCGGTCACGCCTCTGCCACGCACTGTTGGCAAATACTGGGCATGCACAGGCTCCTGAATGTACCTGAACTCGCTCCAGTGTTGGTCAAGTCTTGTCTTCAAAGAGCTCACACTCGGTGCCGTCACAACACTCACCGGTAGATTGTTCCAAGAGTTTACAACCCTCACTCCGAAAAAGTTTGCCCTCACAGTTTTCTGGACTTGCGGCGTCTTCAATCTTGCCAAAGGAAGGCTATAGGTAGAAGGATAAATCATGGCGAAATTTACCTCCAGGATTGTTATAAGGTATTGGCGAGTAGGTTTAAAACCGAGATAAGGAAAGCCAAGAGGAATAATGAGGTAAGGATAGCAAGGGAGGCGAAGATTGGACCAATATGGTCAGATACCGGCGAGCTCACTGACAACGACTGAGAAATGAGCAATAATTTGAATAAATATTTTTCAACAGTTTTCACCACCGAAAATGTAAACATGATACCCGAGGCACCGACTCTATGCAGAGATAGTGAAGAAAACAAATTAAGCGAGATAGTAGTGACTAGTAGCTATGTTAGTAAGCAAATAGATAAACTAAAGCCTAATAAGTCACCTGGTCCCGATGAGATATTTGCCAGAGTATTAAAGAAATGTAAGCAAGAGCTTAGTATGCCCTTAGCAAAGTTGTTTAACATGTCCTTAAATACAGGTGTAGTACCAGAATCCTGAAGGATAGCGAATGTAATACCGATTTTCAAGAAGGGGGATAGATCACTATCCTCTAACTACCGCCCAATCAGCCTAACATCAATAGTAGGCAAATTACTTGAATCACCTGGAGAAGCACAAGTTGATCAATGATTCCCAACATGGCTTCACAAGCGGGCGTTCATGTCTAACTCATCTATTAACATTCTTTTCATCAGTTTTCGAATCGGTGGACGAAGGGCACAATTATGATGTGTTATATCTCGACTTTAGCAAAGCCTTCGACAGAGTCCCCCACGAAAGACTAATTAGAAAGGTAGAAGCACATGGCATCAAAGGTAATATCCTTAAATGGATTAGGGCGTGGTTACAGGACAGAAAACAGGGAGTGAGCATTAACGGCACTAAGTCCCATTGGAGCAACGTCACTGGTGGAGTTCCCCAGGGCTCAGTACTTGGACCATTATTATTTGTTATATACATAAACGACATAGATATCGGCATAGACAGCAACTTAAGTAAATTTGTTGATGACACTAAAATAGGACGTGTTATTAAATCTGACGAGGACTCAGCAAAATTACAGGAAGATCTAAACAAATTTTTCGAATGGTCTGAAAAATGGCAGATGAAATTCAACGTGGACAAATGTAAAGTGCTCAGTGTAGGAGATGTAAACAGGGAAACCAGATACCAGATGAACAACGATGCCATAGAGAAATCCGACTGCGAGAGAGATTTAGGAGTAATGATAAGTAGGAACCTTAAGCCAGGTAAACAATGTGTTTTTGCTCGTAACAAGGCTTATAAAGTACTTGGGTTCATGCAAAGGAGTGTTAGTTACAAGACTAGCGAGGTCATCCTAAAACTGTATCTTGCGCTTGTGAGACCACACCTGGATTACGCAGTTCAGTTCTGGTCACCGTATTACAGAATGGATATAGAATCCTTGGAAAGAATTCAGAGGAGAATGACAAGACTAATCCCGGGCATTAGGAACCTTGAGTATAGAGACAGGTTGAAGCATCTTAATTTGCACTCCCTCGAGAGACGTAGAGCGAGGGGCGACCTGATAGAGGTGTATAAATGGAAGTCAGGGCTAAACAAAGGGGACATTGCAGAGGTACTCAAACTATCCAACCAGGAGCGAACTCTTAACAATGGTTTTAAATTAGACAAATTTAGATTTAGGCGCGAAATAGGTAAACACTGGTTTGGAAACAGAGTAGTGGATGAATGGAACAAGTTACCAAATATCATCATTAACTCGAATACGCTGAATAGCTTCAAACATAGGTTGGATGCTTATATTTGCAATAGGGGTTGGGTGTAAACGGGACTGCCCAGTATGGGCCAATAGGCCCGCTGCAGTTTCCTCCATTCCTATGTTCTTATGTTCTTATGGTTGTAGTAAGTGCTGGAACGCTGGAAAGTTTCAAAAGGAGGCTAGATACATTCATGGATGATAGAGAGTGGTAGTAACTCTCGACAGGAGCTGCCATGCACAGGCCAACCGGACTATTGCAGACTCCTTATTTTCTTATGTTCTTATATTCTAAGAAAAATTGCTCTTATATGAATGGCGGCCAAGATCGGTGTGCGGGCAGCGGTCGTGCAATAAAAACTTTCGGAAAACTTGGTGCTCGGATAAGAAGCATTTGTCTTGCTTCAGGTACTCAGACCATATTCTGTGCAATACTATGTTGCTAATCACAGGAAACTTTTGAATGTTAAATAGTTTTAAGGTTTTTGAACATCTGCGTGTAGCACCTCAGGTCAGTCTGGGAACTATCACTCTTGTAGGCTACGTTGAATATGCTGACCAACACGTATTATTATTATTATTATTATTATTATTATTATGTTATGACAGTAATAAAAATGGAAAACAAAGAAGCATCCATTAATTCTAACGTAGATTTTAACACAGTAGATACGTATCCTTGAAGTCATGCCAACGTAACAGATATGGCCTCTATCCAGTGCCGGATTTAGACCTGTGGAGGCCCATGGGCAGCCTCTTTGTGGAGGCCCCCTCATTTTAACTACCCAAGAGGGTGGGGTGGCGAGTGAAGCGAGCCTAAACATCTGGGCGTTCCGGGGGGCGCTGTAAGCCCCCCGGGAAAATTTTGAAATTTGAACACTTCTTTGTTGAATTTTGAAGCCATATGCAGTTATTTTAAAAATATTAAAAATATACGGTTCATAGGAAAACCAGGTATTCATGAATTTCAAGGAGTAGCTAGCCTAATTTTTATCACGCTTCTTGCTGAACATAGTTTTACGTGATGGAATAGATAAACATGAATTTTAAAGAATGAAAATAAACTATAATCCAAAGTAATAAACAAATAAATAAAATATTGTAATATGTGGAGGCCCCCAGATAGTGAAGGCCCCTGGGCAGCTGCCCGCATTGCCCACTCCTGAATCCGGCCCTGCCTCTATCGTATAACAAAAAATTACTTACTGTAAGTGCACCACCACTGCGTGGTCATTGCCAACTGTTCTTGGGGATGTTGATAAAAAATGACATTAAGCTACAGTAATAGATAGTCTCAAGAGTAATTTTGCCGCCAACTGAAGACAACTGAGGCGAGGAAGGTGCTAGCTCAACTTTGGCATTTTGTGTAAGATTGTTCAGTATATTAACACAGCAACACGCTGAGTAACTTGCCATGAACACAGCGCCAACACGAGTGGTTAACAGGTGCCTGGTGTTCTCCTTCCCCACCCTCTCAGTGACGCATCAATGGAAGCAACGCCAGATGAACTCCTTCCCTGCACCCCCTAGTGACACACACACACTCTTGCGTCTAAAAAACATACAAGCCTCTTCTTTCCTCCCCTACTCAAATACACATTTTTTCCTGTTTCTCGCTACTGTTCACACACACACGAGAGAAAGTTTGGGTCTTGCATTTAATATAAACACTAGATAATATTTTACTGCGTTTGTGGTCTTGAAGCAGGGGTAATGTTTTTTGTTTTTTTTATTGGGCGCAGAAGCGTTTACAGCGTTTACCTTTATGTCTCATGAGTTAAGGGCGTAGAAGCCTGAAGAGTCAGTGTTTTTTTTTATGTCATCAAGTTATTGGAAGCTCCAACAACTCCCTGAATACGAATTCGCAACTTTCGACAGGTACCTACTTTACTGCTAGATGAACAGGGACTAATGGGGGCTAGGAAGTATGTCCAAATAACTTTCACCGGCCCGGGAATCGAACCCGTGACATCTTGCTTGCGAGGCAAGAGCGATACCGCTTATACCACCTTAGAATGATGTTATTTTGAGGAATTTTATTGTTTTTTGAAGTTAGATTAAGATAGCCCCGTCACTACTATTACTACTATACAACTGCTACCACCACCACCACCACCACTAATAATAATAATAATAATAATGATGATAATAATAATAATAATAATAATAATAATACAGTAATAATAATACACGGTTTTGCACTTTACTCCCACTACTTCTCAGTTTATTTTGAACAGTTCAAAACTCGAATCAATTGAGTATCATTCGAATCAGTTTCATAAAAAGGAATACCATTGAAATAATACTCGAGACACACTTCATTACAGTGTGTGTGTGTGTTTGTGCACAAGGTAGTGTAACGCGGCTATTGTGGCAGCATTATGTTAGTGTTAAGCTGCAGGCACTGCTTGCTTCCACTCGCTTTCAGCTACCGCCGTTGGCTAGCCCTCGTGGCGAACAGGAAAGCAACTTGCATAAGTCTTCCATGCCAGTACACAGCCTCTTCACCATCAAGACTCCTGCAGTGCCTCCTCGTGACAACACACGGTAACTGGGTGCCTCGTGGGCCCAGGCTAGACAAGCAGGGGATCTTGGAGTAGCAGTGGGCCCCAGAAGCACGGCACATAGGCCTGCTGCCACGTGGACACGTCCTGGCGCCTACAAACCGCTGCCCCGCTGCCTTGTGGATTGACCTTGGTAAGTATAAGGCTACGGGAGTAAACCATGAACGAAAAATCT